ACAATAAAGAAGAATAGGTAGGATGCAAGAGTTTATGAACTGTAAGAGGAGGGGTTGAGTTATACCCGAGTGCCTTAAGTTCTTAATGTAAAATGTCAGGTGGAATATTTTACTGGAGATCGTTGAGACATGGGAAGACCAAGAGAGATCAGGAGAGAGAATAATTCCAAGATACTTAATTTCTCATATAATTCCTATATGATTGTCATCAATCTTACAACTGTCATGAGAATCGACGGCTTCTTTTAACTGTCGTTTACATCTTAAGCTGAAATTAACAGTTTGACATTTAGAAGGATTCAGTTTAAGACCGTTGCACTCAGACAATTTACTGACTCCGGACAGAAAGCTATTTATTTTGGTACAATCTAGTTGGGAGTTAACAGCCATTGAAACAGTTAAATCATCAGCGTACTTCACAAAGTTTATTTCATCAGAATGAGGCAAGTCATGTAAGAAGAAAGGACAGCGCCTTGAGGGACACCAGCTTCAGTAGGCAATGAAGTGGAAGACTTCCTTTATACACGGTGTACTGCTTTCTTTCTGAGAAATAGGAATGTAACCAGTTAACAACCTAACATTCTGTTTGACTTGCAGCAAGTTTATTTAATAAGATGTCCCGAGGGACCGAGTCAAAAGCAGATGTATAGTCTAGGAAGGCACAACGAACAAATTCAGCCCCTTTGTCTAGACTGGAAGCAATGTTATGATATAAGACGGCAACTGCATCTAAATTGCTTCTGCTGTGCTTATAAGCAAATTGTTTTGGGTCATTAAAAGATTTAAGAGAGGGTACAAGACTAAGTAAAAGTAGTTTCTCCATAGTTTTCAAAAAAGGAGAGGTAACAGCAATGGGTTTAAATTTGACACATGCTCCAGTAGACGATTTAGGTATGGGTACAACTTTAATGTCTTTCCAAACGGCAGACACAATATTACTGGAAAAAGATTTGTTAAACAGATCAGTGAGAGGGTAACATAGAATATCAGAACATTTTTTGAAAATAATACTAGGTACATGATCTGGACCTAAGCTCTGGGAAGGGTTCAGAGACTTGAGGCACTTTTGAACATCATTTGTGTTAAAACCTGGAAAGGGGCTATTATTAACACTAGTGATACTGGGAAGCATGGAATTTGAGGGAGAATAAATAAAAGACTTATTAAGAGTACATACATCAGAAGAATACGGAGTATTGTTTTTCTGCTTACCACCAGTGATTTCCTTAAATAGTTTCCACATATTAGAAGCATTTTTGCAGGATATGAATTCCTGGTTATATATAACATTCAATCTCTGCATTTCAGACTTGATAAGGAAGTTAGTTCTTTTTACACCACCTTTATCTTTCATTTTATATAGTTTTTCCTTCTCTCTACGAAGCTTTTTAAGTTGAGGGGAGGAGAAACGGTCGAATTTGATGAATAGTGTTTCTTTTGGACAGCAGATTTCAAAACAGAATTTCAGATAAGATGTAATATTAGAGATAGTGTCATCAAGTGAAACATGATTAAACAGATCCCATCTTGTGTCACGTAGCATGTTTCTAAGATGTACATTCTCATTTCAGTAACATCTGTGAACAACTTTCTTGGAGAAGTTAGAGAAGGCTATTTTGTGTAACTTTCCGCAAACTTTGGGTAGAACTCGAACAATACAGTGATCAGAGTTTGAGAGTGGAGCTCTTTTACGACCTTCGTATATTCCAGAATCATTTGTGAATACTAAATCAAGCGAAGTATCTTGTCGAGTTGGGAAGTTAACCACATTTTCATGACCCAGCAGTGTAATAAAACTGTAGTCACTGACGTTGAAGTCACCAGTCACTACAGACAAGGAGTTACCAAACGAAGCAGCAGCAAAAATAGTGAATTCGTCAGCAAAGATTGATAGTTCTGAGGGACTGCAAGAAGGTGTGACATAGATATTTGTGACAAAAATGCAGTTATACTTAGATAAGTGTTTAGGTCGGCATTTAACAGTTATACAATAAATGTTGTCATTTGAGAATTTGAAGCTGGCGTTGTTGGCAGTGTAACAACAGAAGACAAGGGCCAGGCAACAGATCGTTTATTACGAAAAATCAACACGTATTTATAGATTTTTATGTACATTATTGTAGGTCAACGTTAGTAGAAAATACAGTCTGTTGATTGGTTGTTTCTCACACAAAGTTAACCTTGCATCGCTTGTGGCTGTGTCAGTTCATCTATATGTTAACTGTATTCGCCTGTCCACCTTGACCTTTGACCTCAATTACTGTCAACCAATTTGGCTAGTAGACAGCTCTCACCACAGCAGTAGACCACTGAGAATGAATAAAAGTGGCAACACTTCCACCTCTCTTCTTTTTTTGAGCTGCATCGGTCTTGTCTGTACATTGTGAAATCAGGTAAAGAGACTAAATTATCGTCATATGAATCGTGCAGCCAAGTTTCTTGAAGAGTAATTACAGCAGTAGTATTATAATATACATTTGAGTATAATAGAGAATGCAAGTAATTAATCTTGTTTGGTAGAGATCTGCAATTTGTGCTCATAATCACAGGAACAGTCATCAAATGCATTGGAGTACGCTTTAAAGCTTGTTGCCATCCACCATGAGGCTTTTTCTTAAGTTTGTTAGAAACTGGTAAATCAGCCTGTTGGAATATTGCTAGTATAGTTGAGTATTTGATCTGTGTGCGTTGATTTTCTATAAACTTGTGGCTCTAAATCTCCTGTGTTGGTTCTCCTGATTAAGACATCTAAAAATGGGATTTTGTTATCTAATTCTTCTTCTCTTGTGAATTTGGTGTCTTCAAATATGTTGTTTATTAATTTATGAGTATATTCTAAATTACTTCTCTTAATTATTACAAATGTATCATCAACGTAACTATTTATAATTAAACCGAAAATCTGGATACGTTACGTTGATGATATATTTGTAATAATTAAGAGAAGTGATTTAGAATATACTCATAAATTAATAAACAACATATTTGAAGACATCAAATTCACAAGAGAAGAAGAATTAGATAACAAAATCCCATTTTTAGATGTCCTAATCAGGAGAACCAACACAGGAGATTTAGAAACACAAGTATATGTAGAAAATCAACGCACACAGATCAAATACTCAACTATACTAGCAATAATCCAGTTACTCGTAAACAAAACTGTGTGCAGACATTGTTTAAAAGAGTTCAAACACATTGTAGCACTCCAGAGTTGAAAAGAATGGAAGAAAAGTACCTACAAACGGTCTTCAAAAAGAATGGTTATCCACAAAATTTCATCAAAAAGTGTTTAAAGTCGAATCAAAACACCAACAAAGATCCATCATCAAAGATTACAAGAAAATTCATTCTACCATACATGAGAAATATCTCTGAAATAACAGCTAGAATACTGAAACCGTTCGATATAGATATAGCACAAAAGCCAGTCAAATCGCGTAATTCGATATTATGCAAACCAAAAGATCCAACAGAAAAAGGGGATAAAATTAATACCATTTACAAAATAAATTGTATGAACTGCAACAAGCATTACATCGGCCAAAGTGGGCGTCCCCTTCAAATCAGAATCCAGGAACACAAATCAGCCGTGAAAAGACACGATATGTATTCTTTAGTATCAATGCATATAGACAATTATGGTCATCAATTTGATTGGGATAATGTCAAAATCTTAGACAGAGGAAACACGAAAAGTGCAGTCAGGGAATTCCTAGAAGCCTGGTACTCAAGCGAAAATGCGATTAACAAACACGTTAATATAGATGAAATATACCAATTAATAAAAGTAAATCGGGTGACCAAAAAGTTTAAAATCCAAGTCAATAGAAAGTGGTCAATACATATGTAAAGATAGTAACCAGGAGACGCAATTATATCACGCATGAAGAAATTGAAATCATTTCACTTTATGCTAAATATGGCGCTGAAGATGTTGCCCAGAAGGACGACGAAAGCTTCGCAACTAAACCAACCAGCCCAGAGAACACTTTTAATTTCAAATCATCCACCTGAGCTGCAAATCTTCTCTATTATTTCAAGATTTTTTGTTAAAGAAAAAAAGGATGAAATACAGTTGTCAAGTTGTTTGAACGCTGATCATTAAGGATTCTCTCTCCCTCTCTTTCTGTGCAACATAACACTTGAAGTTTATTTTTGTTTTATTTTAATGTTAATTTTACAGTGGAAAGGCTGCCTATAACGCTGGTGTTCAGCTTATCATTGATAAGAATAATATTGAAGAGGCCACAGTTGGTGCAAATTACTTTATGACATATCATAGTGTATTGAAACAACCAGATGATTATATTAATGCATTGAAAGCAGCTAGATATTATGCTAATAAGGTAACCCAATCATGGTATACAACAACAACATCAGGTCAAATCGATATGACTGGACCAATACAGAATAATACTGTTTTCCCTTACAGGTTAGTGAATTGTGTCAGATGTTGTTGTTCGTTTGTTTGTTCTGTTTTTTTTTGTCTTATTGAGTTATTTTCAAGTATTGGTTTGGTAGGGATTTTGTTTAATTGCATGGAGGATTTCATCATGAGCTGACATCAGTTAGAGAACCACTGGAAAACCTGAGAGTACTGGACAGCTGTCTCTTCCGTCCTAGTTTGGGACTCTTCAGCAGTACGCGCCCACCGGGATTCGAACCGAGGACCTGTCTGTCTGTCTGTTTTCGACATAGAACTTTGCACATATGTGCGGCAGTTCAAGTCGCCACAATCCATGTAGCACGCAAAGCAAGAGAAGGAAGTAGAAGAAATGCATAATGTAGACAGTAAACAGAGGTGTGAGACAAAGGAATAGTAATAACGGAGAACAAAACAGTTTAATTGGAAATCATAAGTCACAAGGAGTGGATGCATCTGCGCCACTGAGAACGATTTTGAGCCATGTCACCAATTGTTTCCAACCATTGGTTTTTACCATCCCAAGGGCCCCAACCAGGAAGTCTACATCTTCCTACGTGGCTTAGATTAACTGTTGTGGATTTCATTGATTGGTGCCATGTTTTGGTTTGACCGCCGCTAGCTCTTTTCCAGCCTGACCCTATATCAGCTAACATTGCCCGTCGAGGAAGGCGATGACTAGGCATACGTAGCACATGTCCTAACCATCTCAGTCGAAGTAATTTCACAGTCTCGTCGATTGATTTCCCCGCCTTACCTAGCACTCGACGCCTAACCTCAGTATTGCTCACCTTATTATACCACTTCACACACGCGGGAGATAGAACGTAGACACCTATGATCGAACACAGCTAATCTTTTCATGTCTTCTGCTCTCAATGGCCAGGTCTCACAGCCATAAAGGAGGACGGAGCGGACTGTTGAGCAGTACACACGCCCTTTGGTCGATAGTCGGATATCGCGTCTACGCCAGAGACGGCGAAAACTGGCGAATGCGAACCTAGCCCTCTGTATTCGTGCTGAAATTTCGTCGGAGATCAACCCGTTGGGGCTGATGGTACTTCCCAAGTAAGTGAAGCGGTCAACGTGTTCTACCACTTCACTTCCTATTTCTAATCTAGGGGTCGATGAAGTCCAATCCTGCAGCATCATCTTACATTTTATAGGGGCGAATCGCATGCCAAACATGCGGAGATTGTTGCTCAGGGTGTTCAGTAGACTCTGCATTTTGTCAGAGTCCTCGCCTAGAAGGACTATATCGTCCGCATATTCTAAGTCAACGAGATTCTTCCCTGGCAAGTCAATCCCTGAGTCGCTGAAGTGAGTTAGGGTTAAGTCCATTAGTACATCTATGATGAAATTGAATAGGAATGGGGATAATGGGCATCCTTGACGGACGCCACTAGTCGTCACCACTTCAGATGACAACTCGCCATAAGCCCTCACCTGGCTGCATGAGTACGAGTAGAGTGCCTTAATCAGTGCAATGTATTTTCTTGGCATTCCCTTTACAGCCAAGCATCGCCAGAGAACCTCCCGGTCGACAGAATCGAATGCCGCCTTTAGGTCAAGAAATATAATGATTGTCGGACGCCGGTAGGAATGTCTATGTTCTAGAATCTGTCGAAGGGTGAAGATGTGATCAATACACCCTCTACCTGGCCTAAAACCTGCCTGGTTTTCTCGTGTTTGTGTCTCCCGAGCACCACTTAATCTTCGCAGTATTATTGAGCCTAGGATTTTAGATACTATATTAGTCAAGCTAATCCCTCTGTGATTATCACAAGACGACTTGTCCCCCTTCTTGTATATCGGGATGATCAGTGACTTACACCAACCCGATGGGACTTCCTCTGATTCCCAGACGCTGCCTAGAACCTCCGTTAACGCAGACAGTAAACTGTCGCCTCCGTACTTAAATACCTCTGGAGTCAATAAATCAGGTCCCGCTGCTTTGCCTAGCTTCAGATTGGTGACAGCTTTAGTAACCTCGGTTAAGGACGGAGGACCTGTGTCTATCTCCCATTCAGGGAGGTGTTGGATGTCCGGTAAGTTAAGTGTGGCTGTGGGCCAATTAAACTGCTCTTCATAGTGTTCTTTCCAGCGCTCCAGACGTCTATCCTGGGAGCTAATTATGGTGCCATTTTTCTCGGAGATTGTTTCGCTTATCGTTTGTTTTTTACCACCTGTTTCCCTGATAAGCCTGAATAGTTGTCTGGTGTTGCCTATCGCCGATGCTTTTTCCATCTCTTTCGCCTTTGTCAACCACCACTGTTCACGGTCCTTGCGGAGACTTTTCGTAAGTTTTCTTTTGTGCAGCTTTCGCTCCTCATTGAATTCGGAGCTCGCCGGAATAAGTCTTCTAGCATCTATCAGTTCGGATGAGGCAGTCGAAATCCAATGGTTTTTACTCACCTTTGGATTTACCTTATTCACAGCTTTTACAGCTGTATCTAAGGCTGACTGAATATTCTTCCAGGCTTCTTCAGGGTGAGCGCAGCTGTCGAACTCAGATATGTGTTTAGCTAGTTCTTCCTCAAATAGGGACTTAGTTCCCTGGTCGAGCTGGGGACGTGATGGGTTTACCGCCAGCTGTTTCCTACGTCCGTTCAGTCGTAAGCACACACGAGCGCGGACCAGTGCGTGATCGGTATCTACACACGTGTTCCAGAAGGAGCGACAATCTCCTACCGACCCACGCCAACGATAGCTTATTGCTATGTGGTCTATTTGTGTCCAGCGTTGATTTGATGATGGGGGTCGCCAAGTCAAACAGTGTCTGTCCTTGTGTTTGAAGTTAGTGCTTACAAGAAACAAATGATTATCTGAACAGAACTGTAGGAGACGGTCACCGTTGTCGGTTCGCTGGCACGGAATTCCGTATGTGCCACCGACATTTTCTCAGATTGACACAATTTCCCTACTTGAGCAGTAAAGTCACCAGCTAAAACGACAATATCTGAGCGTTTAGCCTTTCGCAGCAAACTAGACAGCTTTTGGTAGAACTCAT